GCGCCGGTCACTGCCAGTGGTGAGGAGCAGGACACGCGTGTCCAGCAAGGGGCGCTGTGCGGCTCCTGGGCAGGGAGGTCCAGGGATGCAGCATGAGGGGCAGCAGGCCATGGGGCCGTGGGTGTTCCCCGGGGCCAGGTGGGCGTGCACCCACAGGACGCGTCTCATCAGTGACCCACGTTTGTAGGAGCAGCTGCCCTGCATCCAGCCCCCCCCAGGCCAGCCACGGCCAGCGCTGCCCACCGACGTCAGCCGATGGGCTGTTGGCGGGATGGCTGTAACGGGTTGTGTTAGTTCCATTTTGCAGATGAAAAACGAGCACAGAGATGTTGAGTAACTTGTTCTAGGTTCCACAGCTACAGACTCCCACAGATCACTCAGTCCCAAGTCCCCATTCCCGGGGGGACTTCAAGGAACCCGGGGCGAGCACAGCTCTGATGGGAGGATGAGCGCAGGGGCTTCAGGGTAGCGGAGGAGGTGAGGGGGCTGTGGACTGTGGCCCGGCCCAGCCACACGTGAACGCGGTCCCCAAGGACAGGGACGAGCTGAATGAGGACCCAAGACACACCTGCTGAATGAACGTCAGCCCCACAGAGCGGGGACTGTGGCATCTTGTGCTTCCCAAACGTCCCCGTGGCCGCCGGGGTGGCTGGGCTGGAGCTGGTGAGACAGAGGCAGGGGACAGGGCCAGGCCACAGCCCACGGGAGGGGGCGGGCACCCAGCATGGGCTCAGCAGCAGTGGCCCATCACTGCGGCCACCAGGTCCGGTGCTTCCTGGGTGGCCACGGAGCCCAGAGGTCCAAGCGGGCTGACCCAGCCAGCCCTCTTCAGGGCGTGGGCAGCTCCGCCCTCCCTGTTCATGCAGACGTGGAAACGTGTCAGCGGTACCTGAGCCCCCCACGGGGACACTATGGTGCCTGGAGGAGGGGCCCTGCGTCCGCGGCCTGTGGCGCCTGCCATGCTCCGGGCACAGCTCTCCTGGACAGACGGGCAGGAGGGGGCCTGGGCAGTAACGGGCTCTCTTGTTTCAGGCTCCCCTTTCCCCCCGGGGACCGAGTGACCTTCAACGGCAAGGAATGTGTGTGCCAGAAGTGCTCCCTGCCCACGGCGCTGGGCAGCAGCGTGCACCTGTCCCAGGGCCTCCGGAGTAAGTGGACACTCGGGGCACACAGGGGTGGCCTCTGTGACAGGGGGACAGGCTGGGCCACACAGGGACCCAGCATGTGAGTAGCCGCAGTGGGCAGCGGTGGGCACCTGTGGGGCAGCACCAGGCTGGGAAGCCCAGGCCCCGCTGCCACCCAGCCTGTGCCCGGCTCTGCCCTCCCGGGTGCCTCCAGCCCCCTCCTGCAGGAGGCCTTCCGGGCCTCCTCCTCGTCCTCCCCGGCAGCCTTCACCCCAGCTCCCCTCCTGCCCTGGCTTCCAGGGTTCTCAGGTCCCCAGTCCACCCAGACTGGGCCAGGCGCGTATGCAGTGGGTGCTCAATACATCCCTCCTGAGTGAGGAGGCAGGCGGTCATCACCGTAAAGAGACAAGTGCCAGCGGTGTCACAGAGTGCAGACGGGGTGGAGTGAGGTGGCGTCTCGCAGCCTGGATGGTCTTCTGGGGCAAGAAGCAGGATGGGCCTGGGAGGGACCAAGGCACCAGGGGACAGGGCACCCAGCCCGTGCCATGTTGCTGCAGGCCCCCGCTAAAGAAGCAGAGTTCTGAGCCCAGCCTGGGACTGTGGTCACAGTGGTGTCCCCAAGGCAGGGCCACATCTCGGGATGGGGACCCAGGGGGGCCTTCTCTGGATTCCCAGAGGCAGCCCCCACGCCCACCTCCCGCCTTGCCCCAACCCTGTCTCCCCAGCGCCCTGCTGAGTGGAGCCTGCAGAGGCCACCGCGCCCCGCCTCCCGGTTTCACCCAGAGGCCAGGAGTCCTTCCCCGGAGGGGTGCGCTTGATGCTCTGGGGCTCGCTCAGACACTGCTCCATTCAGAACTTTCTCTCCAGCTGGGCCTGGAGGGTGGAGCTTTCCAGATTGTCTTCATGGACAGGAACATTATGACTAAACCAAATAGAAGTCAAAAGATCTGGGCAAAGCCTTAAAAGGAGGGTGTTCGTCTGAACTGTTGGTCCAGTGCTTCCTGGCAGCCAAAGCAAGAGGGAAAACCCAGCCACAGACCACTGTTTTCAGGGTTACTTTGAGATTTTTTAAAAAAAAATGTTATTGGGGCTGGGGCTGGGGCTCAGTGGCAGAGCGCTCGCCTTGTATGTGTGAGGCGCTGGGTTCCATCCTCAGCACCACATAAAATAAATATAGGTATTGTGTTCATCTACTACTAAAAATTTTTTTTTTAAATTTAAAAAATGTTATTGGAGAAAGTTATTGGCGTGAAGGATTCCTGCACTCAGGGTGAACAACAACCTTCCTAAGAGCAAATTCATTGTAAAATATCAACCATTTATTTTTCCTTTTTTTCCCTTTATATAATACTGGGGATTGAACCCAGGGGTGCTTCACCACTAAGCCATATCCCATCACTTTTTAGTTTTTATTTTGAGACAATGTCTTGCTAAGCTGCTTAGGGCCTCACTAAGTTGCTGAGGCTGGCCTCAAACTCACATCCTCCTGCCTCAGCCTCCTGAGGCACTGGGATTAGAGGTGTGCACCACCACACCCAACCAACTGTGCAATTTCAAAACACACGCTCCCCTGGCCCCCAGGGTGGTCTGATAATAAAACCTGCTCCTTCCCCCGCTCATGGAAGAACACTGAACTTTCCCTCTTCTGAACCTAGAATCAGAATCACAGTCCCGGGCTCCTGTATTGTCATCTGAAGGGTCCCTTGCCTCTTGCCCCAGAGGGCCCTGCAGGGAGACTTCCCGCCTCCAGGTGTGGGCATGCCGCCAGGACTGAGGTCCTGAGGTTGCGGGTAAGGCCTTTAACTCCAGGGCACGTGGTCTCGGCTCTCTGTGGCCAGCGGTCTCCCAGGAAGTGGCCTCAGTTCTGACCTGTGGGACGCAGGCAGAACTCCAGTGGATGGCGTCTTAGTGCATTTGTGCTGCTGTGACACACTGCCCGAGGCTGGGAATCTACAAAGAGCAAAACTCCCTCTCGGGTCGCGGAGGCCAAGCACAAGCCCTGGCGTCTGGCAGGGCTGCTCTGCTTCCCGGGGCCAAGGGCGAGGTCCCTCCAGGCTGCAGCCCTTTGCCCAATGCCAGTCCCACTCCCCACAGCAGGCCCTCACCTCCCAAGGTCCACGCCTCTTAACCCTGTGGCCCTGGGGACCTGGTAGTCGCCAATATTGAAGCCACAGCAATGGGCACAAAGGAAGGTCACCAAGCCTGGGAACCTGCGGACACATGGGCACCACCAGACGATGTGGGGGGATGGGCTGCTGTGGGGGCGAGGGTGGGGTGGCACCTGGGAGACGGGACCCGGGTGGCCACGCCAAGGTGTTCCGTGGTGTGTCGGAGGTAACTGAGTGAGCGAGGGCCAGGGCAGTCCTGAATGTAGGGGCGAGTCTGACCAGGCAGCGTTCTGAGGGGAGAAAAGCCCCCCGGCTGCCGTTCTGTGCCCTCGTGGGGAGGGCAGAGTGGCGGGCTGGGTAGAGGCAGGCCCGAATCCGTGGTCCTGAGCCTGTTGCTTAGCAACAGGGGAACACGGGGCTTTCTCCTGGGGAGGGGCAGTTCCCCGTGATGCCCCGAGAAGGGTGTCCCTGTCCTGGGAGCCCTGCTCTGTCCAGGTCTGGTCAGGTGCTGGTCACAGGCAATGCTCCATGAGGCCACCACTGGGCCAACCAGGGCTGGCCTGAGCCTGCTGCCTGGTGGACGCACCCTCACAGACCTCTGATTCATGAAACCACTTCCCCCTCTAGGCCGTAGGGTGGCTGGGCCAGCAGAGGTTTGGGCAGTGGTCTAGAGGGGCTCAACCCAGGGCAGGATGGGGAGCAGCTCTGTCCACGCTGAGAAGCCCCAGGACTGGGCTGAGGCTTGGCCACCCCAGCCCTGTGGCTCCACCCTCGGGCTCCACAGCCAGGCTGGAGGGTGTTGTGTGGAAGGGCAGGAAGGGGCTGTGCAGAGCTGGCAGCCAGGCCCAGGACGGGGCCGTGGGTCCTCTCTCCAGGTGTGCGTCTGTGCTGCCTGGGCCTTGGCACCTACGGCACCTACAGCCCTGCGTCTTCCTTGGTGGGAGGCTGTGCAGCTTGGCTTTCTAAGAGGGTGGTGACCAGGACCTGGAGCCCCAGTCCCTCCCCAGCAGGGTGGCCTGGTGCCAGGCTCCCTGGAAAATCGGGCACAGCCCACCTGCAGCCATCCATGAAGTCAGGGACAATGACTCTGGAGGCAAGGCCCCCTCTGCTCCTCCCCAGGCCCTGCACCCACCGTGGGCAGTCACCGTGGCGCCCCTGTCTGGTGAGGACCCGTAGCACGTCAGGGCTGGGCCTGAGCACACGTGGCCTGTGCCAGCCACGCTCCGCCCCTCTCACTCCACCATGGCCAGAGGAGTTCTCGGGCCAGCTGGTCACTTCTCAGTCACCATGAGTCTTGGGCTCCGCAGGCCCCTGTTTCCAGCTCAGGCCCAACACAGGGACAAAGCCCCTGTCACCTTGACCCTGCTAGACTGGGGGGCCACAGGTGGAGGGGGTGAGGGTCAGAGCCCACCTCTGAGGTCCCAGGCGAGGGTCTAGACACCACCCAGCACATCCTGGTCCCTCACGGGCAGGACCAGGGCCTGAACCCTGTGTCCTCTCCTGGAAGAAAGACCATTTAAGGGGAACCAGGAACTGGAAGGTTCTAGAAGGCTCCTATCAGGAAGAGCCCAGCCCCAGCCCCTTGCTCCAGGTGGCAGAGCCAGGCCCGGGGCATGGCAGGTGGACGGCCAACTCTGGGGGTGCCCTGCAGGCTGAAGTGTGGCTGAGCCTGGGGCAGCATAGGTCACATGTGGCTGTTCTGTCCCTGGCAGAGCCACGCAGAGCCCTGCTGAGCCCCACATGTGTGCAGATGGCTGAGGTTTCCATGGCGACGTCCCTCTCTCCCCCTGGTCTCTACATTCACTGCTCATTGATAGTAGTGCTCCCCCCAGGTGGCCAGAGAGGAGTGAGGGACAGGCTGTCAGGTCCATGTCCAATGTGCCCAGAGCCTCTGGGCCCTCCACTGGGCTCAGGAAGAGAAATGGAGGCAGCCCCCCAGGAGCTGGAGGTTGGGCGGGGCGGGCACGCTGCTGGTGCAGTAGGAAGGGGGTGGTGTCTTGGGCCCCACCAGGCACCGTCCAGCCTCAGCAGCAGGACCAACGGGCATCTGTGGTTCACCAGGTGTGTCCTTTGCGCCTGGGCTGCACCTGTCTTTGCCCTGCAGGAGGCTAGTGCTGCCACTCCACAAGGGTGTCCTCCTCTCACTGGGACCCAGATCAAGTGACTTCCCGGTGGTCCACAGCTGGAGGGGCACAGCTAGGCTTGGGCCTGGGCAGCCTGGCTCAGGGTCCACATCCCCCACCCTGCCCCAGGCTGCCTGTCCCTGCACTGCCGCCTGGTGTGCAGTCTCCTCGTTCTCCTGTCACACACCGATGCCAACCAGGGCTCAGCGTGGGGTCCTCAGCCTTAGCACAGCGAGCATCTGGGGCCAGGTGATGGGGGGCTGCCCTGTGCACAGCAGGAGGCTCAGCACATCCCAGCCCCTACCTCTAGATGGCGGGAGCCCCACCCTGGGGTCGCCAGATATTGTCATTGTTCCCTGAGAACAAATCACCCCAGCTGAGAGCCTCTGACATGGAGCTCCCACAGCGTGCCCTGGACCAACATGCCGGTGGCCACATGTGTCTGCAGCCAGAGAGGTGTCTGCTCTGAGCTCTGCTGCCCCTGGACTTGAACAGGGTCCCCCCACCTTGCCTCCATTCATTCCTTCACCCGAGCTTCTCAGGCCTGGCTGGCCTGCGCTTCCAGTGTCCTGAGCCCCCTCCCTCGGGGCCTGGTCCTGGGTTAAGTCTCTTCACTTGTTTCCAAAGTTGCACGTGGATGGAGCAGAGCGTTGACTCAGGAAGAGCCTGAGCCGCAGTGTAGTGGGGGTGGGTTCGCTTTATTCTTCAAAGCAGTGACTCAGGCCCTGAGCATATCTGTCGGCATAACAAAACTCGTGCCAAGCAGCCTGAGCCCACTGCACGCCAGGCCCTGTGGATCTTGCTTGGCCCTGACTGAGCTGAGGGCCGGGCAGCCATGGTGCCAGGCCAGCTGTGCTGTATCTGAGCTGGGCAGTGACTGCCAACATCATAGCCTGTCCCCCAGGAAACAGGCCTCAAGGGGAAGGGCCCCTGCCCAGGGTGGCCCTGCAGTGGTGGGCCAGGATTACCGAGTCTGTCTGGACCTGGAGCCACATTCTTCCCTGTTGAGCCAGCTGGCTGAGCCCAGGAGCCACCTGCACTGGGGCCCCTCAGGCCGTGGTGGCTCCTGTCTGTCCTCAGAGGACCCCAAGGCCACCTTGCACACCTCAGTGTACAGCCAGACTCTCACACAGATACGCACACATACAAAACAAGAGCCCCTCAGACACACTCACACCTGCAGACACGTTTGCATAGACACACAAGCACACACAGATGTGGTCAGAGACACACAGAGACAACATTGCACACAGAGACCCACCTGCACACAAAGGCAGAGGTGCACACACACACGTGTCCACTCGGCCCTGTGCCTAGTTCCACCCCACGGTGGCAACCACCTGGGTCAGACCACGTGAACCACTGTTGCTCAACACTAGGGGCCTTTCTCTCACCAGTGTGGTCCACGAGGCACTGTCACGCACCAGGTGTTGCGGGTGGTCTGCAGGTGTTCAGCACACAGGAGGGTGCCACCCGTCAGGGGCTTGAACACCGTGGACTTCGGTCTCCTCAGGGGTCTTGGAACCAAGCCCTGTGGGTACCAGGGCCCCTGCACTATGGCTGTGCACATGCTCACACGACACACCCCACGCACACCTGCACACACACACACACGTGTCTACACAGTCACACGCCCCTGGGCACTGCCCCCTTCCCCGTGTGTGCTCATGCTGCCAGTCTCTGCCCAGCTCCCCCTGCTGAGTCTCCCACTCGTCCTCAATAAGCCATATGAGTGACAGTGACATGGGGCCAAGGTGAGAGCTCACTGGAGGAGAGGCCTGAGCATCTGGTGCAGTGAGGGGCCAGGTGCAGAGACCTGGGCAGCTTGGCTGGGAGGGAAGGCAACACGGGGAGGCCGGCCAGGGCCCCGACCAGGCCATTGGCCACAGGGTGCAGAGCAGCAGCCACCATGGGAGTCCACCGGTCAGGCTGCAGGGGGAGGAGGCCCGAGGCGAGTGCAGAGCCCGCTGGGCCCAGGCAGAGTCTCCGGGTAGAATGGGACATTGCGCAGGGCGTGCTGTGCCAGGCGCCGTAGACTGTGGCAGCAGGAGCTGGGGATGGGAGGGGCTTCCTGGGAGGGACCCACAGGCAAGAGCTGAGCCCAGGAGCCACCTGCACTGGGGTCCCTCAGGCCGTGGCGGCTCCGTCTGCCCACCTTGCACACCTCAGTGCACAGCCAGACTCTGCCCGGGCGCCCAGTCCTCTGTAGTGCAGCCCGTTTCCCTCCAGGGGGCACGCTGCCTCCCGGGGCTCAGCATCTTGCCTCCAGGGGAGGGGCCTGGGGAGATGCCAGGCCCCCACCCCGTGCCCCTGTCTGCATGGACGCTGTGGAGGTGGCTCTGGCCTTCTGGAAGGCACGCCCATGTCCGGCTCTGGCTCCCCTGCTCCCAGCCCTGCGGCCCCCAGTGGGTGCCCTGGAACCAGAACACCCTCGTTGTCCCGTCTCCATCAGCCAGGGCAGCCGGGCCTCCCTCGAGCCAGCAGGGCTGCCCGCTGCCCTTTTTCTTTGGCCTGCTCCAGGGTCTGGGAGCAGCCAGAGTGCCCTTGGTGCCTCCAGGTCACCTCCAGGACCCTTGTCCAGGACCCTTGGTGGTGTTGGGCCCCACATGAGGACGTCTGTGTTCTGCTCTTCCCTCAGGCTGCGGGGGCTGTGGCTCAGAGATCAAAAACGGCCAGGCCCTGGTGGCTCTGGACAAGCACTGGCACTTGGGCTGCTTCAAGTGCAAGGCCTGCGGGAAGCTCCTGGACGCAGAGTACATCAGCAAGTAAGTGGCCGGGCTGGAGCCATGGGGGCCGGCTGTGGGCTGCTGCCCTGCGTGTCCCCCTCCTGCAGCGACCTCCCCACTGGGGGCGAGGAAACAGCCCACCTGACCTGTCCCCCAGCCCAGCTGCTCCTGGCCCATCCTTGGTTCCTCAAATGGTGGCAGAGGCTCCAGCTCCCTCTGCTGGTCGGGAATGGGTTTGTCAAGGCCTCGTGCTCTGTCCCTAGACATGGCCCTCCACCTCCCGGGCACCTGGATGTTCCAAAGCTGGACACCCAGGAGCCCAATGCACGGTCAGCAGGTGCTGGCCACAGGAACAGGAAAGGAGGACTGTCCTGGTGGTCGGGGTTGGGACTCCAGGGCCACACACCCTGAATTCTGCAGAGCAGGGCCCTTGGGGCTGCCAGCCCTGGTGGCAGTGTCCCCCAACAGGGTTAGGGGAAGGAGCTATTAGGTTGTTAGGGGGCAGGGCCTGGCTCTACCTAGGCCCTGGGGCACCTCCTGGGGCTCTCATGGCCAGGGAGGGGCTAGTTGCCAGGAGGCGTACGTGTGAGAGCAGAGTGTACCTGGACACATCCTGGAGGTAACTCCCCATTCTTGTGGTTGTACATGATGTGGTCACCCTGGTCGTGTGTTCATATAGGAGCACAGAGTGGGGTCCAGTTCATTCCACTGTCTCCCATCCCCACCCCCTCTCTGTCCCCCACTCCCCCTGTCCAGCCTGGGGAACTGCCCTCCCCCTGTGAGTCAGCATCTGTGCATCAGAGAGAACACGCGGCCTTTGGTTTTTGGGATGGGCATGAGAGCCTCCAGACTTGGCATGACAGTCTCCAGGTCCAGCCGTTGACCTGCCCATTCCCTCACCTCATTCTTCCTGGAGGTCGGGTAATACTCCATGTGTGTATGTGCCACATGGTCTTTGTCCTTTCATCTTGCAGGGCTCTAGGTGGGTTCCAGAGTCTGGCTGTAGTGAATGGAGCTGCCCATTAGTAAGGCCTCCGGGCCAGGGTGCGATTTTACTTGGGGACCAGGAAACTGAAGCAGGCAGCCCCCCACCGTGTAGGCGAGAAAGCGCGGGGGCAACCCGTGAAGGACAGCGCCTCCCAGGGCAGATAGGCCGGTCTTGGGCTCAGGGCCCTCTGCCCGCACCTCCCAGTCGGTGGTAGCTCTTCATGCTCTCGGGGCCAGGAGTGGCGTGTGGAATGACCAGTGGGAAATTCCCTTGACCCAAGACATAGAATGAAGTGAGCACGCGCATGCACGCATGCACACACACACACACACACACACACACACACACACACACACAGGAGAACAGCTACAAGGAATCCAAATGGCCCACGGGCCAGCCATGCCGACATCCTGGTTGACCTTGCCCCCATCCCGAGACATCACCGTGGGGACTGGCTGGGGGGATGGGCCTGTCCCGTCTCTCACAACAGCACACACTGCCATGACCACCAGGTCAAGCGTCTTAAGGCAGAGCCCCCTCACAGAGCTGAGCCTCCATCCAGGGCAGGTGGGAGGGCCCGAGGTGGACCAGCGGGAGGCACAGGGCCCCTTGAGTGCAATGGCCGACAGTGCCCAGCCCTGGGCAGGCCGCCACCCCCGTGCAGTGCTGCCGGCTCACCCACACGCTGGCGTTACTTAGCAGCCTCCAGCGTGTCTCGGAACTGAAGGGGAGGAGGCGTGGGTTGCCATGGAGACGTCATCTTTGAACCTGCAGAGTTTGCTCAGACACACCCACTGTGGGGTCGGATGGGTCCCTGAGGTCGGCAGCCTCGAGAGACGGAGGCCCAGGCACAGGCCATCACAGAGGGACGCAGCCCTGGCTATGTCCCCCATGAGCACCGGTGGGCCTGGCAGAGGGCCAGGGAGTGGAGGGAGGAGGCGCCCTCGTCACTGGGCTGCAAGGCTGAGTTCAGAAGAACAGCAACGTGGTGCAGGAGAGGGGCCCACCTTGGAGTGGCAGGTGCCCCTCCACCCAGTCACCTTCATGCCTAACTCCTCCTGGGCCACAGCCTGTGGCTGAGAGGACAGCTCTGGTTGGCAGTTGTTGGGCAAGTACCTGCCCAGTGCTGGACGCTGGCCAGGACCTCTTAAGTGCTCCTTACTATTATTTCTCCCCTTTCTCCATGGGGAAGCTGAGGCTCAGGAGGTTAGGTGACTTGCCCAGGGTCACACAGATGGGGCCTGGTGTTGAGTCCAAGTCCCACCTTCCCACACTGAGCATGGCCACCTGGAAACCTCAGTGCCACCTTGAGCCATCCCTCCCCTGCCTGTAAGGCTTGTGTCTGATGAGGGCAGAGTGGACCCCAGATGGCCCAGGACTCACGTCGGCTGCCCACTGGCTCTTCTCCTGTAGCCCACTTAAAGCAGAAGCAGAGTTGGAATAAGCGGCCCTGGGAGCAGCTCCCAGAACGATGGTCCCACTCCATCCACACTGAATTCCCGTGCCACCAACAGCCCGGTGCACAGAGGGGAGGACACAGCACTGGACTTCCTCACAGCTTGCCCAGGAAGGGGGCTCTGTCAGTGGGTGGCCTTCGTGGTCATCTTACAGGAATGCCCTGCTAGAACCTGGCCGGACCTTCTGGGGACGCTCCCAGGGAGGCTCTGCTGCTTGGCGTGGGTCCCTTGTGAAGGTAGTCGCATCCTGGGATCCTGGGGGCCAAGCCCGCCCTGACCGCCATCTCTCTGCAGGGATGGGCTGCCCTACTGCGAGACCGACTACCACGCCAAGTTCGGCATCCGCTGCGACACCTGTGAGAAGTACATCACGGGGCGCGTGCTGGAGGTAAGCAGCGGCCTGCGGCCAGGGCTGGGCTTCGGGCCCGTCCACCCCACCCAGCTCTCCATGAGCCCTGACCTCCACACCCGGCTCCACTCCCACCTGCCGCAGGCCTCCTGGGGAGCCTCGTGGGTGCCACTTGCCAGGGCCCAGGGCCCACTGGGGAGGCCTTAAGCTCTCCTGGCCCAGCCTTCCTGTCCAGCATGGGACTCAGGTGAGTGAGGGCAGCGAGACTGAGCCCTGAAGACAGGTGTGGAGCCCCTCCCTTCCGCAGGACTATGTCCCCGCAGGAGGCAGAGTGGCCACGGGCAGGCAGCCTGCATGGTGACTGCAGGAGGGGACGCTCCCAGGCCTGGCAGGCTGTGCTTTGATCTGGGTGGCGGGCGGAGGCACGTTCCTGGTGTGAAAGGCACATGTACAGCCCAGGTTTCCACTCCCCGTCCAGCCAATCACCAGCCCAGCACACCCTGCGGCCCCTCCTGGGCTCTGTGCTGCATACTGGCAGGAGGGTGGAGTCTCCAGCCCATGGTGGTCAGTGGCCCCTGGAATGACCAGCTCAGGGAAGAAGAAGTGCCTGGGCAAGGCCAGGGGCTGTGGGAGCCCTCTCGAGAAGCACAGGGGCAGCCCTGGGGTTCCAGCGAGAGCAGGGCAGAGGATGAGCTGGGGCTGGCGTGGGGCTGCAGGGAGCAGGTGACCGGGAGCCCGCCCTGCAGAGCTGAGCCGCCGTCCTCCCCAGCCTCTCCACCAGTGCCCTGTTCCTGCCGGGCTCTGGGCTCCAGGGGATGAGGCAGGACCGCCCAGGGGCTTCAGCTACCTTCATTCCAGCTGCTCCTTCCTCCAGCCCTCCCCCACCCACCTGGGAGCAGCCCACCACACAGAGGTCTCCCTCTGCTGAGTGGACTCAGGATGGATTTAGGACTCGCCCTTCCATAGAGAAGGTTTGCTGAAGCCAAGGACAGCAGGAAGCACAGAAAATGTCACCACAGCGTGTCCCAGGCCAGGTCTCTGGTTCCCTTCCTCGTGTTTTCTTTCTGTGATTCGGTTGACATCAAGCCGTCACTGCAATACTATGTCATGGTGATTTCTAACTCAGAGTCCCCGGTACCGCATGTCCGTGTGGCTAGAACGTGATCTGGAGCGTTTGTCTGGTGTTCCGGACCTCGGGCAGCTTTGTTGACATGTGACGCCCCCTGAGGTGTGCGGCTCAGGGTGTCCAGCTGGGCACAGGCACGTTCGGGGTGGCCAGGCCCATTTTGGATGCTCTCATCACCTTGAAAAGAGCCCCATAGGCTTCGGCTGTCCTTCCCTGTGCCGCCAGCCCTCGGTGACCACCAGTCCCCTGCACCCGCGGGCTCCCCTGTTGACCACGTTCCATGCGGATGGCCTCGAGATCTTCCGTGACTGGCTTCCATCCCGTCGCATAATGCTGACAACCCCCTCGCAGGGCACGTGTTTTAACACCACGCGGCACCGTACCCGCCACGCGGCTGCCCCAGGGCTGGCCAGGCTCCTGACTGGGGTCCACAGGGGCGCCCTCCAGTCCCACTGCAAATACAGCGGCTGCAGCTGGACTCGTTTTCTGTTATAAGGTTCTGTTTGCATTTCCAATTTTCCTTCAGAGGAATTCACAGAAATGTAGAAGCTGGGTCGAACCTGTGAGTTGGAAAGTTCTGGAAAGCAATTGCAAATTGTGTCAAAAGAGCCTGGCTTTCAACTCCTGGGGGCCAAGTGTCCCTTGTCACTTTGAGTTGTGCGATGTTCTAGCTTTTCAACCATCCTTCGTACACTGGGGCTGCTGGGGTTTCGGGGTCTCCCTGCTGTCTCCTGGGAGTGCTTCTTGTGGTGAGACTGCCATTTTGTCTGCCCTGGGTTCCGGAAGTGTCTTCCTGGGCAGTCATCATAGCCAATATTCCTTCCCTCCAGATGTGGACAGACGACCCATCCTGTCTCCTCCCCCAAGGACCCCTCCTGTGCCGGGTCCTGCACCTCCCAGTTCCCTGGGGCCTTACCCTCCCATCCTCCTCCCCTGCCCACCCGAGGCTCCCGGCCCCTGTGGCTTTCAGGTGGCTGCAGTGTCTCCCATTGAAAGCTGACCCCGCTGGGCAGCCTGGCCTGCAGTTCCTTCCTCCCTCCACAGCTGCCTGGAGACCTCCCGCAGCAGCCTTGTCGCTCCCCTTCTCTGAGGACCTTGGGCCTTCCCCCCCTCCTCTCAAGTGGCCTGGGCACTGGGCACCTCCAGGCTCACTTGGCTGACCCTCTCTGAAATGCAGAGGCCCTGGAGCTCAGCCAGCTGTGGGAATCCCCCACGTGTGCCAGGCCAGGACCCCTATGGGCAGGAGGCAGAGCTGGACGTGAGCCCGACACCTCCCCACCACATGGCCTCTGCCTGTGCACGGACTTAATCCTGTCTCCAGCTTGTGACACCTCGTGCACCCTGGGCTCGCTTGTGGCTCCAGGTCCAGGAGCCTGACAGCAGGAGCCCAGCTCCCTGACATCGGGCAGCAGCCCTGCCCCAGACAGGGTCAGGCCCTGGCGAGCCCCCTGCCTGCCCCGCCTCCCCCAGCAGCGCTGCCCCTGAGCTGGCTACAGTCAGGAGCCGGGGCATCTTCTGTGCAGTGGCCCAGCTCCCTGTGCTCTATGGTGACAGATGGGGAGGGACCTTGACCTCAGGCCACCAGCCGGCCCCTCAGGGTGGACTGAAGTACTCCTGGGCCACATGTGGGATCTGGGCTCTGGTGTCCCGAGGGGCCCTCTGGGTTTTCTGACCCTGTGCTGCCAGGCCTGGGCTCCTCCTTGTCAGCAGTGGAGGGTGAGGGGCCCCGGGAGGACCTGCTTTGTTCTTGCCTCTGCTGGGCGGCGAGCTGCGGGGCGGTGTGGGGAGCCGCAGGCTCTGCAGAGCTCCGAGCATCCTCCTCGGCGGTGCGAGGCGGGAGCTGCAGGCGGAGACAAGCTGGGCTCCGCAGAAAGGAGCCGCCACCGGGCTGGCACCCAGCTGGTGACAGCAGGCTTTTGCAGAGCAGCAGGAGCAAGTGACAGATCTGGAAAAAAATAAGAGTTGTGAGGATGGGGGAGGGGTGAGGGCTCTGCACTGGCCACGGGATTGGGCTGAGGTGCCAGGACACCGTGCAGGTAGGAGACCTGGCCAGGCACCTGGAGGGGTGGAGGGGCGGAGGGGCCTCACAGGAGCCATGCTGGGCAGTGGGGTGAGCTCATGGGTCGGCTCCATTGGGCCCAAGGCCCCTGGGGACACTTGTTACCCCCCTGTGCCACCTAAGAGGCTTGTGGGTGCCCCTGGCCGTCCTGTCCTTGGAGCGAGCAGGAGAGCATCCCGGCTCCCCCAGCAACAGGAGTCCTGGCTGGGCTGTGTGTGGTGGGCACAGTGCCATCCTGAGCGCCGAGCGCCAGCAGCCGGCCGTGAAATGTGCATCTGGTGGTTCCCTCCCCACCACCCCCCGGCCTCCTCGCTTCCTCCTGAGTATGGAGGCTCCTCGTCCTGCGTCTCTGGGTTCCGTCTGAAGGAGGCTGCTCCACACTGGGGTCGTCTGGGGTCTGGAGGGGCTGGCATCTGCACCCCTCCTTCTTGGCTAGGATGGACAGCAGGGAGCCCGGGGGCTGGCTGAGAGCACAGGTGGGAGGGGCAGCCCTGGTGCTGGCAGAGGCTGCAGCTGGGTGGCTCCGGGGAGGGTTGGCGTTGCCCCCGCAGAGCTGCCTTGGCTGGTGGCGTCGCCGAGACAGCCCCTGGCGACCCCAGGCTGCAGCTGGGTGAGGGCAGAGTGTGGAATGAGGGGAGTCAGCGCTGTGGGGGGCCGGCTCCTTCAGGCAGGTCACCTCTCTGTGCTCAGCACCACTGGGTGCCCCCGTGGGCGGGGAGGGAGCAGATGGGGGCGGATTCTTCCTCATGGCGCCTTCCCTCGACCCTGGAGCGCCGCGCCCGCCCCTGCTTGCTGGTGCAGCATGGGTACCTGATTCTGTCTCCATGGTGATGACGCCCAGCGCCCGACCTTCTGGGACCCCTGGTTAATGCCCCCTCCCTGGGCCTCCTGGCTTCTTCCTCCCTCGTCTGGCCTCCCCATTCCTTCCTGCAGACCCTGGCTGGACTCAGCGTCCCTCCTTGGCTGGACTCAGCGTCCCTCCCTGGCTGGACTCAGCATCCCTCCCTCCCTGGCTGGACTCAGTATCCCTGCCTGGCTGGGGGCTGGGTCCTTAGGGTGGGTGGCCTCTGCAGAGAGGGGCCACCCAGGCTGCCCCGCCCTGTCAGGCGGCCACTTCCACTCTCTCCAGTCCAGGATCACACCTCCGCGACCCCAGGATGCTCATGGCTGGCCTCCTCTGTCTTGTTGGGGGCACTGTCCCTAAGCAGGTGTGACTTATCATTGGCAGAAAACAAGCTATGTCCTTCCGATCCGCGGAGAGCTTCCCAAGGACAGCGAGGCAGCTCCCCACATGCCCATCTTACAGTGGACGTCTAACTAAAGACACGCTCGGGGGAACCTGCTTATCAGCCCAGACACAAATCACGCCTGCAAATGCCACCACCCAGGCCACTTAGCACTGGAAGGGATCCTTTCAAATTTTGCACACACAGACACAGAGACACACAGACACATAGACACAACACAGAGACAGACACACAGACACAGAGACACACAGACACACAGACACACAGACACAACACAGAGACAGACATACAGACACAGAGACACACAGACACAGAGACACAACACAGAGACAGACACACAGACACACAGACACAACAGAGATAGACACACAGACACAGAGACACACAGACACAGACGCACAGACACAACACAGAGACAGACATACAGACACAGAGACACACAGACACACAGACGCACAGACACAACACAGAGACAGACATACAGACACAGAGACACACAGACACACAGACGCACAGACACAACACAGAGACAAGACACACAGACACAGAGACACAACACAGAGACAGACACACAGACACACAGACACAACACAGAGACAGACACACAGACACAGAGACACACAGACACACAGACACAACACACAGTCACACAGACACACAGACACACAGACACAACACACAGACACACAGACACAACACACAGTCACACAGATACACAGACACACAGACACAACACATACAGACACATAGACACAACACACAGACACACAGACACACAGACACAACATATACAGACACACAGACACAACACAGACACAGATACACAGACACAACACACACAGATACAACACACACAGACACACAGACACAACACACAGAGACACATAGACACAGAGACACAGACACAACACACAGAGACACACAGACACAGAGACACAACACACAGAGACATACAGATACATAGACACAACACACAGACACAGAGACACACTGACACATACGTAGGCAAACAGACAGCAGACCTAGACATGCACACAGACACACAGACACACAGACACAACACAGGCACACAGACACAGAGACACACAGGCACACAGATAGCAGACCTAGACACACACACACACAGACACAGGGACACACAGACACACAGACAGACACACAGACACAACACAGACATCAGACCTGGACACACACACACACAGAGACACAGGGACACACAGACACATAGACAGACACACAGACACAACACAGACAGCAGACCTAGACACACACACACAGAGACACAGGGACACACAGACACACAGACACAACACAGACACACAGACAGCAGACCTGGACACACACACACACAGAGACACAGGGACACATAGACAGACACACAGACACAACACACAGGCACACAGACAGCAGACCTAGACACACACACGCAGAGACACAGGGACACACGGACACAGGTGCACAGCAGGCACAGATGGGCACGCACAGGCACACAGCACATGCAGTGGACACAGCCCACACGAGCACTCCTCCTGGCCTCCCTCCTGGTGCCACTTCATGCCTGACCTGTGGTGCAGCGAGGCCCCAGGCCCCTGGCACACTGTTCACAGCTGTGTCCCTGGCCCTGTGTTTGAGGGATGTCAGGGCACAGGCTGCAGTCCTTGGGGTGGCACGTGTGGACACTGCCTGTGGCCTGGGTTTCTCAGCTCTTCCCAAGGCACTCCATTAGCACCCTTTGTCCTTAGGGACTGTGTACGAGTGACCGGTGGCCCTGCATCCTCTGTTCCAAGCACCTTCAGTGGACATCTCTTCTGGGCATGGCCCTGGCCTGTGGCTCAGTAGACGATGAGTGGACATGGCCAGCTTCCCAGAGCCTCTGTCCTGGATGGAGTGAGGCAGGG